GAAAAAAAAGTCGTTGTTCTATTGCTTGTACTTCAGTGAGGTTCCGAAAGCTACAGCAGGGTTTTTGCAGTCCTTATTTTTGCATTATATTGAATGACATGGGGATACACTATTATAAAGACTTGTATCGCTTAGAGCTATATCCAGTGGTTAAAAATGTGGACGCCCAAAATAACGCATTCATTTATTACGGCTCTAAAAAATTAATGAATTTTCTTTATTTCACATTATCAGGTGTTAAACTTCCCATGACGTTATCATCTCATAATTACAATACCAAAACTTTAAGTTATTTGACTGCTAGCTCTCTAACCGCATTAATTTCTGTCTCAGCCCTGGCAGGAATCTCCTTGGCATTTTTGGTGGAGTCCACAGAGAATGTCGATTACGGCTTCAGAGTAGCGTCTGAAGTGGAAAATCTTATGACATCAGTGGAGAGAGTGATGACGTACACCAAACTAGATGCAGAGGTCGGTTATAGCTCAGAGATCCATCCACCAGATTCATGGCCCAAAAAGGGAACCATCCACATCAAAGACTTGTCTTTCAGGTACACCGAGAGTTGGCCACTAGTCCTGAAGGACATCAATCTGTTTATTGCTGATAAGGAGAAAGTAGGGGTGGTCGGTCGAACAGGAGCAGGAAAGTCATCCCTTGTTGCATCACTATTGCGCATGCCTGATCCGGAAGGGAAGGTAACACGCTTGGCATATAATGTTACAGGTCAAAGTTATATTCAGGTTAAAATTTTTTAACCTAGGTTGATTCTCAATTTCTTTTGTCTCCTAGCCCTAACTCATGAATAACTAGGGCCAGGAGAAAAAGGGAATTGAGAATCAACCTAGGTAAAAAAAAATTGACCTGAATTTATCTTTGACCTGTAACATACACACTGACGTGATAGCTTTTATGAACAGGTAGAAATTAATATCTTAAAGATAAGAGAGATTGGGGTTTCATCTACCATGTCAGGCGCACCTGCAACGATTTGGTAATTTTGATCTGTCTCATTCCCGTCTGTTAGCCATGACCGATGGAGGTTCCTACGGTATGACCGGTGACACAACTTTCTATTTGATCAAGGAATGTTGTTTCTGGGCGCTCTCTTTAGCGTCTGTCGTGTTTTGGTTCCAAAAGAAGTAGTTGGGAAACAGTCTCATGCTACCTGCTTCTCCAACAGTGGCTAGTAAACTGCAGCCCGTGCATCTGACACTTGTTGCAATTGGAGGCAGGTCCCCGTAGAACTCCTTATTACATATACGATCTTTCCAGCTTACGTTTAGGGGATTTCGCACACTGAAAGAAGTCTTTGATCTGATATCCACAAACCTATTATTAAGGCGCTTTCCATTTGTTAGGACTGACCAGCCAGACCATTTCCGCCATAATGAGAATTCCAGTTTTAATCAAAACTATCCAGTCAGATCAGTCAAATCCTATTTACATATAAGAAGAAGATTGTTTTTCAGCAAAGCTTTCGGAAAAAACTATTTGCCCATTTTCAAACTGGCTGGTCCGGTGCCGGTCTAGACTGTTTACCTTTTGTGGGAATAATGAGATTTTACTTTTTACCATGTCGGAAGGAACTTTGGAAACCTATATATTTTACTTGATACTCTTACTATACCGCAATCCAATAATTTAATAGCATACCTTCTAAATGCAATAATCAAATGGAATTCTGCCTTAAGGTTCTATCTAGTTTAAAGATGCTCCACTTCAATAATTTGAAACAATAATAATGAACAGAATGATTGACTTGAGTGACTGACGCTCTAGGTGCATTGTTTGCGCCCCGCTGATGCACAAAAAGAACACCAGCAAAGAGATAATAATAATAATAATAATAATAATAATAATAATAATAATAATAATATAATATTAATAATATAATAATAAGATCAGTTTAAATAGGACTTAAAAAAGGCAAATATTGCTATATTTTCAGTTATGGTCAAGCAGTTGAACGTGAAATTAATGTCAACTAAATCCGTCTTAAAGAGGGCCAGGGGGAAGCTCGAACTCGACCGCGACTCGAGATTGTTTACACTACGCGCCGAAACCCTTAGTTCCCCTTGGGCAAACTGAAGCAGTAGAAGCAAAAGTTAAGAAAAGGAATTTATCAAAGGAGCGCCAGGAACAAACCCAGCAAGCGTCCAGGGCGGAACTCGAACGGCTCTGGTCACGCTGCGTCGTTAAAGTCCGACAAAATAGATTGTATTAGGATCCAGTTCTAAAATCAGTCTTGCACGGTACTGATTCTTCTGTGCCTTTTCTTCAGTTATTATATTATATATCAACGAATGTTAGAACTATAATTCATAGCCTGCAAGTCTTGGCCACGGGACTGTTTTGACCCCGTGGTCGGCGCGACCTCGATATAGCCACAGAAAGGAAGCGATAGCGTCCCCCAAAACACTTCTATCAAGTGATTTCCAAACAGCCAAAATTTGCAAATTTTTGTCCTAATCAGGTGTTGATCGATGGTGTCGATATTGGAGCCATTAACCTTCAAGCAGCTCGTCGAAGTATGGCGGTTATCGCCCAAGATCCTGTTCTCTTCGGAGGCAGCCTGAGAAGAAACTTGGACCCATTCTCCAGATACACGGACATGGAACTATGGACGGCCCTTGAAGAAGTCCAGCTGAAAGGAATGGTAGAGGAACTTCCTGGGCAGCTGTACTACCAGTTGAAAGAATCGGGATCGAACTTCAGTGTTGGCGAGAGACAGCTGGTGTGTCTTGCTCGAGCACTGGTTTACAGAAGTAAGATTATTATCATGGATGAAGCCACGGCCAATGTAGACTTCAAGACTGATCGTCTCATCCAGGAAGTCATTCGTCACAAGTTTAAGGATTCCACGGTGCTGACTATTGCTCACCGACTCGACACAATTATGGATTACGACAAAGTTCTGGTGCTTGAAGGCGGACGAGTCATGGAGTTTGACAAACCGGACGCACTGATAAGAAATGGCGGATTATTTGCAGATTTGGTTAAAATTGCCAGTGAATCAAAAAGCCGAACTCTTTAATCCTCAGTTAAGGGAAAGTTCATTTAATATGACAAGGGGGGGGGGGGGGGGGAGGAAGTTTTTGGGGGGGGATCGCAAAATTTTTTCCACCCCGAAAGGGGGCCCTTTGAAAAAATTTTTGGGCCAGGGGGGGGGCCCCCAAAAAATTGTATACTTAAAAAAAAAAACTACCTATACACATAAAACACGGTCGGTTTCTAACATAAAATAGCAGACAACCCACCCTGTGAATCACA